TTTTTTTTTTTTTTTTTTTGAGACATGGTTTTACTATGCAGGTCTGGCTGTAACTGGCTCTGTGGACCAGGCTGGCCTGGCCTCTACCTCAGAAATATCTGTCTGCCTGTCTGCCTCTGCTTCCTGTGTGCTTGTTTTAATGGTGTGTGCCAACAATCCCGCTCCTATACTCATTTCAGACTGAGTTATATGTGCATTATTGATGCATGGGGTTATATGGTATGGATGGCAGACTTTCGTCGGCTTTCCGGCTATTCCGTACTTGCAGAATCCTCGATGCTCAGTTCCCACCAACTGAACAAGTGACTGAAGATCAGTCATTGCAATGGTACCAAAGGTCACCACCATTCAGACAACTTCAGGGGAAAGGTCTTTAATCAGATGTGTTCGGGCAAAGGAAAATGTCCTTACGACAAAAGTGAAAGTTAATCAGAAAATACTCCATATTCCGAATTTTAAAAACTCTCTAATTACAAAAGGCTGTGTCTACATAGTCATGAATTTTACCTCTCCTGTTAAGTTAGAGGCCACAGCTGGGGAAGCAGATACAAAAGCTGTCAGGAGTTAGTAACTGATGGGTGGATTAGCAATGCTACTCTAGCAGCCTATCTAAGCACAATGGGAAAAGGCTTGGCAAACCAACCCTGAAACACACACACACACACACACACACACACACACACACACACACGTCGGTAATAAACTTAACTAGCATGACATTTCACACATTTCCACATCTGCGGCCAGGCGCCCCGAAGAGGTCGGATATGACCAGGTTCAAGGTGAGGGAGCAGACAGCCCAAGGGGCCAGGTATCCGGCCATTCCCAAGTCCTTGAAGGGACACCAGGTCAGAACTAGGATTTGCTTCCTTGCCCCGCCCCGCTACGGCCTTCCTTCGGATTGGCCGACTGAGGGGACATCACGGACAATTTTAAACGGCGATTGGCTAAACTGATGGAGGGCAGCGTAAGTCCGCGGACTCCTAGGGCTAATGAAGTGCCGGGGAATCCAGAGACCTCGGACGAGCGCGAGCCTGCACTCCCAGAAGCTACCCTCCCGGCGCGCGGCTCGAACCCTCGGCGCCAGGCTCCACTTACTCCCGGGCACCCGGAGCCCGACCGAGGTCCCATCCTCAAGACACAACACCCGCTGGCCCTGCGCAGGGCCGCGGTCACAGCGCGTTCTCTGCCACCGCCTCTCCTCCTCGCCTCCGGGCGCTGCTGCTGCATCTGCACCCTCCCTCCCTTCCTCCCTCCCACGCGCGGGAGTGGCCCAGGCTTTACCTGCACGACCCTGGTGGCGGAAGCCATCTTGCTGCCCATCGTGACCCCCGACCAGGGGCAGCTTCCGGGGCGCCGGCGAGCCGCACAAGTATCGGGAGTGGGCAGCGCGGGGCGGAGCCTGTGTGATGTCACTGAGGAGCTATAAGAGCCAGCTCCACCCCCTCCGCGCCCGGCCCCGCCCCTCTTCCCTCCTAGGCGCTCAGCCCGGGCCGGTTTCTATTGTAGCGTTTTGCAGCCACCGGTTCAACTATCTGCTTCACCAACCCAAGGTATCTAGGGACATATTCCCCTCCCCCCAGATAGCTAGTTTCTAATTTCAGTACAGTTCCAAATTTAATCTGAAACATAAGTCATACAATCTCCTGTGGCTTCCTAACATAAATCATTGTATTAAAACTTGGAAGTTGCCGGGCGGTGGTGGAGCACGCCTTTAATCCCAGCCCTGGGGAGGCAGAGGCAGGTGGATCTCTGTGAGTTCGAGGCCAGTTTGGCCTACAGAGTGAGTTCCAGGACAGCCAGGACTGTTTCACAGAGAAACCCTGTCTCACAAACAAAACAAAACAAAACCTTGGAAATTACATAGATTCCCTACCTTGCTCAGCCATCATTAGAGAAGTCTCCTCCTGCTGCGGATAGGAACAAATACCGAGACCCACAGCCAGACAACATGCATCATGAAAGACCTTGGAATACTCAGACCTTAAAAGGATGTCTCTATCAAATCCCTCCCCTCAGGGGTCAGGGAACTCTGCAGAAGAGGAGGCAGAAGTGTTAGGAGCCAGAGGACACCGAAGAATACAACAGGGCCTTCTAGATCCAGCAGGGCTGGCACACAGATGAACTCACAAGACAGTGGCAGCATGTGTAGGATATGCACCCGATGGGGTTCTAGAGCTGAAAAGGAGAAATGGATCTGTGCCACCATTCCTAACCCAGAGCCTATCTCCTATGGATAGCCACTTGGAAATGAAAAATTAATTTTCTCCAAGGGAGTCTCACTGGGGAAACAAACCACTCTTTTTTTTTTTAATTTTATTTTACAATACCATTCAGTTCTACATATCAGCCACGGGTTCCCCTATTCTCCCCCCTCGCACCCCCTCCCCTTACCTCCAGCCCACGCCCCATTCCCACCTCCTCCAGGGCAAATCCTCCCCCAAGGACTGCGATCAACTTGGTAGACTCAGTAATGGCTCAATCTTAAAGCACTTGCTGAACAAATATGAAGACCTGAGTTCAGATCCCCAAAAGCCATGTAAAGCCAGGCACAGTTCCATGTGTCTGTAACCCCAGCACTCCTCCAGTGAGGTGGGAGGAGAGACAAGAGAATCCTTAGAAAGTTCCTGATCAGCTAGTCTGGTGTCTTACTTTTCCATTGCTATGACAAAGTGCTATGACCAAGACAACTTATAAAAGAAAGCATTTAACTGGGCTCATGGTTACAAAAAGTTAGAGTCCATGATGGCAGAGCACACATGGCAGCAGGAACAGCTGAGATCTCACACCTTGATCCACAAGCAGGAGGCAGAGAGAGAACTGGGAATGGCACAAGTCTTTTTTTTTTTTTT